GGGTGGGCGCCGGGCCGCCTCTCCCCGCTAGCGGCGGTGACTCGGCGACCTTGGCCCCTGAGCCCCAGCGGGGACCCAGTGACCGAGCAGGAGCGCGGACCTAGCCCGGCGCGCGGGGCGGAGCGCACTGACAGTCCGCGGGGGGCCGCGACCATGTTGGCCTTCGCGGCCCGGACCGCGGTGAGTGCGGCGGGGGCACCGGGGGCACCGGGACGGGGACGCGCACGGGGCGTTCAGGGCTGCGGGGTGCGGTGCCGGGGCTCCCCGAGTCCGGCGGCGGAGCTGGCCAGTAAGGTCGGGGCGGACAGTGCCAGAGGCCGGGAAGGGGTAGTGAGACCCCGGGCCGGGCGGCCCCGCCCTCGATCTGGAGCCCAGCCCCGCGCGCACTTCGGCCGGCCCCTGGCCGGCCACAGCCAATCTCCAAGCCTGGGCCCTGGGTCAGTGCCCTCGGGCCCCCGGGGATCTGCGTGTGGCCGGAGAAGCTCCCGGGGAGGGTCGAGTCGGGCTTCGCAGAAAGTGCTGGGAGCTGGCAGAGGCGGCAGGCCGCAGCCCCGCGCGACCCCGCCTCCCCGCAAGCCCCCTTCCCCTCTTGTCCACATCAGCTCACCTGTCCTCCCCAGCTGCAGGCTGCTGTCCTCATTTGGGTACCTTTCGTCTCAGATCCAGGCGTGTCGGGCTCTGATCCCCGAGACTAACACTCCTGGGGGACAGCTGAGAGCTCCCCGCTGGGCTCAGACTTAGACTCTTCAGGTGTCCCAGCGCCTGAGTCTCCTTCTCACCCCTTTCCTGGCCAGCAGAGCCTCGCCTCTGCGGCAGCCAGGACCACCACGTTGGCCGATGAGCTTGCTGCTGGAGAAAAATGGCCAGCAGCTGCTAGTTCAGATCTAGTCCAGTTCTCAAACCAGTGACCTCTGGCCTAATTTTCCTGCCCAAAGTCCTGTATTCGGGGCCGCCAGCTGGAGGAGCAACAGCTCAGAAAAATGAGGTTTTCATAGAGAGCAGAAGCCAAGTTTTCCCACATCTAAAAGATCTGTGTGGATTTTAGCAGGTGGATTTTTAAATACCTCTTGGCCCGCATCCCTGGCGCTGGGCCCGTTCGGAGAAGAAAGGGCAAGCTCCCCTGGTTGTCTCCTCCTCCAGCGCCTGCCCGCTGCCAGCCACTCCCCTGTGCCCCACTCCTCCGAGCCTGGAAGTTAGGGTGAACAGCTACCATAGTCCAGTAGCTCCTCACCACGGGCACGGCCCCAGATGCTGCCCCTCCCGTCACCACTGGCGTCCTGCATTTCTCCCTGAACCTTGGCTCTTGTCTTTTCTTTCTAGCCCGGGCAGGTGGCTGCCTCTTGCTAGGTTCTACCAGCCCCTGGGTAGCACAGTTAGGAATAGCGATCCAGCCAAGGCAGACAGACAGGGTCACGACCTCATTCGGGCCATGGAGGATGGGCGGCAGAGAGAGCAGGTATGGAACAGAGCTTCTGCCGCTTGCCTGCCGCCCTGCCAGCAGCCTGGGACCCACCTGTCTCTCTCTGCTGCTGCCTCCAGAATCTCCTGGACTCCCTCTGCCTCTGTCTCTGCCAGGCCACTCAGCTCTCTCTCGCTGCCGCACGACCCCAGCCCCACCCCACAGGCAGGAGAAAACCACGGCCTCACTGTCGGGTCTCTACGTTTCTCTTGGATCTTGTTTCTCAGTCTAGAAAGGGTGAAAGGAAAGGAGGTGGGGACTTGGAGAGGGAGCTGTCCTCAGCCTGGTGACCAGTCCTCCCAGGGAAAGAGGGGGTCTGTACTTCCTGACAGCAGGGAGGTCCCCCTCACCTTTGCCACCCTAACAGTGTCACGTGCTGACTGGGATCCCTCGGGCTACACCCTGCCCTCCCTGCACCTGCCTGCAAAGCCAGGCCCCTGGGAGGCGGGGACACCACAGCCTCAGGGCTGGGAGGCCTGGATGAGCACCACCCATGAGGCCACCTTTCCCCCGGGACAGGCACATAAGTGCCCAGGACTTTGGCTTGGGGAGCAGCGGGCTCCCGGAACTGCTGCGGGAATGAGCATAGTGTTCTACCGCCTGCAGGCAAAGCCGCTGGGTCTTCTCAAGCCCTCCTCCTTGATGAAGCTGCCCGGCAGGCTCAAGGCGCACCAGGATGCGCTGCCGCGGCTGCCCGTGCCCCCGCTGCAGCAGTCCCTGGACCATTACCTCAAGGCGCTGCAGCCCATCGTAAGCGAGGAGGAGTGGGCCAACACCAAGCAGCTGGTGGACGAGTTCCGGAGCCCCGGGGGTGTAGGGGAGCGGCTGCAGAAGGGGCTGGAGCGCAGGGCCAGGAAGACAGAGAACTGGGTGAGTCGGGGACGCCGGAGGGGCTCCCAGTATCACTCATGTGGCTGCTGCTGGCCGCACACCTGCACTCTTCAGTGCCAGCTGCCCTGGCACATCCCTGGTCTGCCCTGTGAAGGTTCCTGAGCACTCCCCCTGTGCTTGGCACTCTGTGGGTGCGGGGTGGACAAGGGCACAGGACAGCCTCTTGAAGCCGGATGTCACACCGTGGGCAGAGTGTGGGTCTGTGGCCAGGCCTTTTCAGGCAGCGCCATCCTGTGCCCAGGACGAGGCGGGAAGCGCGGGGACAGGCAGCTGGCAGCATGTTTCTATTGGGTGGACAGGGTGGGTGCAAGGTGGGTGGCTAGATCTGAATCAGCGGCAGACGAGCAACAGCCTGGCATGTGGGACAAGGCTGGAGGGGAGTACGGAGCAAGGGGGACAGCCGGGGGGCGGGGGGGGAGTTGCAGCGGGTGGGATGGCCAGTGACCCGTGGCCTGGGCCCCGTGCGTTCCCTCTACGCAGGCGCGTTGGCTTTGTGCTGGGTACCTTTGGTCCTCACGCACTCGCTTCCTGCGCGTGGCCTTTACTCCCCGCAGAGACGGAACCGAGAGGCTGCTGGGAGGAAAGAGTGGGAGCCGAGGCATGGAGGGCGGTGCCTCCGCCCCAGGGGATGCAGCAGGCCTGCCAGTGCTGCAGGGGAGGGGGTCCAGAGTCCCTGGATTGATGTGGGGCAGTGCTGAGGGCAGCTGTCTGTGGGGCTGGCCCTGGGCTGCCAAGTGGGGAATGGCCAGGGTGGGGCAGATGCGGGGGATGAGGAGCTGGCTTCCACCCCTGAGGAGCACACCCAGTACCCACAGGGGACTGGTCCCAGGGCCTGAGCAGAAACCACGATCTCGGATCCCCAGGGGCTGTCTGCACAGTGGCTCAGGGTTTCGTGCCTACCTTGTGCATGCTGTAAGTCGTCTTCGGGTTACTTGTGATACCTGTGCTAGTGCTGTATGAATGGTCGCTACAGTGTGTCCTTCAGGGGACAGCGAAAGCAGTCTGTGGGAAAGCTGACTGCGCTAGGAAGCAGGAGGTGCCGTAGGGTAGGCAGGCGAAACCCTGACCCCGGGGCTCCTGCCCGTGCGAGGAAGGAGGCAGATGGGCGTAGCAGGGCAGGCCTTGGCGTCAGAGAGGATGCCGGCCCTGAAAAGACCTTACAGGAGTGAGGGCTGGGGTTTTCCCAGGTGGTTGAGCCAGGCACTCTCTCAAACCACAGCTCAGAAGGCTCCGCATGCATGGGGCTCCTGAAGGCGCCCTACTACCACCTGGGAGTCTCCCTGGGGGCCGGCCCGCCTGCAGGCTCTCCCGTGTCCCAGGCCCAGCCGAGGCTCTGAGAGCCCTGTCTGCCTCTCCTTGCTGTTGAGGAAACCGAGGCACAGAGCATTGCGGCAGCTCCCACAGCAGCCCTGAGCTGCACAGAGAGCCTAGCTGACCCAGCGCCAGGTCTTCCGGCTATGAGTCAGAAGGGAGAGGAGTAAGTCACATTCCCTGCCTCTTGCTGAGTCCCTGGGCGAGTGGCCTGGTGCCAGGGACCAGCCATTCCCCACAGTCTGTGGGTGAGGATCGCAGTGGGGCCAGGGGGTAGAACTGTGGGGGGGTACAGTCAGCAGGAAGGCCATGGGCTGACAGTCGTCTGGAGTGTATGTGGCCCACTTCTAGGGCTGATCCCGGGCAGGCCCTCAGGTTGTGTCATCGGCCTGTATCTTGTCATCAGCATGATTATTTGCCCTTGCTGTGAGCCCTCAGATTGCCCTGACCTTGGGATCAGCGTGGGTGTCCCCTTCCCAGTCTGTCGCTGGCAAAACTAAGGAGGCCACTGAGGCAATCCTTTGGGCCTCCCTGGCAGCAGGCGCTTGTCTCCTTGGACAGTTCCCAGCCTGAGAAAGTCAGGAACTCACTGGCTGGACTTGGTTTTTATCTAACTCTTCCTTTTGTTCTTTTTGCCTGCCTAAGGATATATCTTTATTTACTAATGCATTGCAATCATCCACAGAGAACTTTTAAGAGAAAGAAAACATGGGGCCAGGCTGTAACTTGGTGACAGTGTGTGCTTGGTGTGGACATGGCCCTGGGCTCTCACCCCAGCACCACAAGAAAGAAAAAAAAAAAACTTGTGCACCCCCCTATCCTGCACCTTGGGTTTCCTTCCAGCCTTTCCTGCAGGGGAGGTGGTGCATCAGAGGGACAGGACAGGGTGCTCTGGGGCTTGGCGGTCACTCAGAGACTCAGTGCTGCGGGGCAGGACCAGCTGGGTCCCCAGCCTGGGAAGGAAGGCGCTGCAGGTCCTGGCAGTCCTGACTCAGTCTGCTCCTTTGCCAGCTATCCGAATGGTGGCTCAAGACAGCCTACCTCCAGTACCGCCAGCCTGTGGTCATCTGTTCCAGCCCAGGCGTGATTCTGCCCAAGCAGGACTTTGTGGATCTGCAGGGCCAGCTCCGGTGAGTGGCCAGGGCTGAGAGGGGGCCGGGAATGGGGCTCCAGCATTTCCAGAGTCCACAAGCCCATTCCCAGGAGACTGCAGAGACCCAGCGCTGCTGTTCTTTTATCGTCGCAAATGCCTTGTGAGGCTGGGGATGTAGCTCAGTGGTGCAGCGCCTGCCTGGCAAGGGCAAAGCTGTGAGTTTGATTCCTGGTACCCCAAAAGACCGCCTAGTGAAACAAGAGCACCGTACCTATTTTACAGATGGGGAAACTGAGGCTAGGCATGAAGGGACCTCCCCAGGTTACCCTTAGGACAGGAGGCAGTCTCCACTAGCAGAGTGCCATAAGTGTCCCTTCCTTCCCCCAGTTCTCAGCTGGACACAGCATGACCTTTATACACAGTCCCCTTTCCTACATTAGCCTTGTCACCTGCCCTGGCCCCTGTTCTAGTCCTACCAGAGATAAAAATACAGCCCAGGATCCCTGCACCAGGCCAGCTCTCTGCTGCCGCCTGGGTCTCTTAAAGGGACAGGACAAGGGATAAAAGGAAAAGAAAAAAGAAAGGCCAGGGCTGTAGCTCGGCAGTGGAACACTTACCTGGTATGTCCAAGGCCCCAGGTTCCATCCCCAGCCTTGCAAAAAATAAATAAAAGGACCAGGGCCCCCTGAGAAGGGCCAGGGCTCAGTCCCAGAAAGCCCAGCCAGTGGTCCCCATGGTAGAGCTGTGTGGCCCCAGGCATTGATGATGGTTGGTCCAGGCCAGAAAATCCCTCTTCATAAACCCAGATAGTCTACCTGGATTACACGTGTGATCCCAGCTATTAGGGAGACTGAGGCAAGAGGATGACAAGTTTGAGGCCAGCCTGGGCAATTTACCAAGACCCTGTCTCAAAATGTGCCAGGCGTGGTGGCACATACCTATAATCCCAGCACTCTGGGAGGCTGAGACAGGAGAATCACAAGTTCAAGGCCAGCCTTGGTGATTTAGCAATTAGAGAGACCCTGTTTGAAAACAAAAAGGAAGGGCTGGGCGTGTAGCTCAGCGTGAAGGCCGTGGGTCTAATACGGGGCCAGGTGGTAGCTCAGTGCTAGAGCAGCTGCCTAGCTCGGGCAGGGGCCTGGGTTCAACCCTGGCACTACAAAAGGACAGCAGAGAGGAAAGAAGGAAAAAAAGGGAGGGATGGAGAGAAGGAGGGGGAAAGTGGGAAAGAAGCAGAGGGAAAAGGAAGGGCCCCAGCAGGGGGGACATCCGCTGCACTGCCTCCCCTTCCTGGGTCCCGGTCCCTGCTGACAGCCACCCGGGTCCCTGCTGACAGCCACCCGCGCTGAAGACCAGGGCAGCTCTTGGCTCGTGTAGGCGGGGTGGGGGAGGAGAGAATCCGTAGGTTCTTGCCTGCAGCTGCTCCTGGCCCCAGGTGTGTGCACACAGCTTCACATCTCTAACTGATCCTACAGGTTTGCTGCCAAACTCATCGAGGGCGTTTTGGATTTCAAGACCATGATTGACAAGTGAGCACGCCACCCTCAGCCACCCTCAGCCACGCTTGACCCCTGGGCAGACCCAAGGTCAATCCTTTCCGCTTCCTCTTGGCCCAGTCTCAGAGAGGGCGGGGAATAGCACATACTGGTGACCGGGAAACTTAGGTTCTCTGCTTTCGCTGCTGGATTGTCTTCCTGCTCACCTTGACCCATCCCAACCAAGGAGGACCCCACCATACCAAGCTGGGTATGGTGGCGCACGCCTGCAATCCCAGCACTGAGGCTGAGGCGGGAGGATCACTGCACATTCAAGGCCAGCCTGGGCTACATAGTTCAAGGCCACCCTGAAGTGCATAGCAAGAATAAAAAAATAAAAGGACCCCAGAAATTGACTTGCTGCCTTCTGTCCCCCATAATAAACTGAGGCCCAGATCAGGAGTTTCTAGATGACTCATAAACAGGGCCTCCGCCAGGGAAACGCAGGCCTCCAGAGCCCCTGGCCGCAATGGCCTCTGCTCATGCTAACGGGGAGTAGAGATGCTGGGGCCACCTGATGTATAGCCTTCTAGCCCATCCTGCAGGGCCCTCCTCCTGCCCGCTTCCCTGAGGCCTCACTGTCCCTGACCTGCAGCGAAACCCTGCCTGTGGAGCACCTTGGGGGGAAGCCACTGTGCATGAACCAGTACTACCAGATCCTGTCGTCTTGCCGCGTGCCGGGCCCCAAGCAGGACTCTGTGGTCAACTTCCTAAAGACCAAGAAGCCGCCCATGCACATCACGGTGGTGCACAACTACCAGGTGGGGGATGCTGGCCACCGCCGCAGAGCCCTGCCCAGCTGCTGCTCTGACACGCGGAGGCCACGGGCCGCCCTGGCCGCGATGACCGCTCCTCTCCTCACTTCACAGTTCTTCGAGCTGGACGTGTACCACAGTGACGGGACACCCCTCACCTCGGACCAGATCTTCGTGCAGCTGGAGAAGATCTGGAACTCGTCCCTGCAAACCAACAAGGAGCCAGTGGGCATCCTGACCTCCAACCACCGCAACAGCTGGGCCAAGGCCTACAACACCCTAATCAAAGGTGTGGGTTGCCACGGAAGCACTGTGGGGCTGGCGCAGGTCTCATGTGACCCTGTGTCTGCGGTGGCCAGGGGCTTGGGGGTTGGGGTGCTGCTGCAGGGGCCTGTCAACGATGAGATCAGGCACTCACCCACAACATAGGGAGCGGATGGCTCGGGCCTCCCTGGGCTCGCTGGGCCGGGTCAGGAGCGCCCTTCCCCAGCAGGGCGCTTGAGCACCAGGTCCCGAGTCTCACCTGCGCCCCACACCACCACAGACAAGGTGAACCGGGACTCGGTGCAGTCCATCCAGAAGAGCATCTTCACCGTGTGCCTGGACAAGCCGGTGCCCAGGGTCTCGGAAGACGTCTACCGCAACCATGTGGCCGGCCAGATGCTGCATGGAGGTGGGGGCCCACTCAACAGCGGCAACCGCTGGTTCGACAAGACGCTGCAGGTGAGGGCGCGTCCGGGCCTGGGCACTGCGCCCTGGGACTTCCTCCTGCCGCCCCAGGCCTGGCGTCGCCGTCTCCTGCTTGTAAAGCAGAGGGAAGGCAGTGGGCTGGACGCACCGTAATTACCAGGCAGCCACCTGTCATTATCAGACCTCTGTTATCCCCAGCACAGCTCTTTAGCGTGTCAGAGGGTCTGGGGTCAGACACAAGCATCCCACACTGTGCCTGGAACTTGGGGTGACCAGAAAATGCCCCACTGCGGGTCCTCCAGGACTCGCTGGGACATGGAGTTCACGAAGGGCTGAGGCAGGCCAGGCTGCCTGACAGATGGCAGCTGTCACTAACAGCAGAAAGTCAATGTCACCCCAAGATCGCTTCAGAGGGGCCCTTCCTCCAAGACCCCTGATAGTGCTGACAGGTCCCCTGTCCTCGCGCAGTTCATCGTGGCAGAGGATGGCTCCTGTGGACTCATCTATGAGCATGCCGCGGCCGAGGGGCCCCCCATCGTCGCCCTGGTGGACCATGTCATGGAGTACACGTGAGTCTGCTCACACCCTCTGTCTTGGTTACTTTTCTTCGTTGCTGAGACAAAATACCTGATGCCCAAAATGAAGGAAGGAAAGGTTTATTTAGCTCACAGTTCCTGGTGGCGGGAAAGAACAAAAGCAGCAAGAGCGAAAAGGGAGGAGTTGCAGAGCAAGCCTCTTCCCCTCCCTTGTATTGTATGGAGGCTGCCCACCCTAGGGCGGGTGTAGCGCACACACCCATAACCCCAGCACTGGACTATGAATCGATCATAAACTCTAGAAGCCCGCCCCATGACTGCAGGAGGCTTTGTGGGACATCCGGACACAAACCGTGGCACCCTTGTTCTCCAGTTCCTGGTGACAGGTGACCTGCCGGTCTGGGCGTCACTCTCCTTTTCCCCTGGAATCAGTGTCTTGCAGGGAAGCAGGCAGAGGACATGGCTGGGAGAGTCAGACCTGAGTTCCAGTCCTGGCTCAGGTGCTTCCCAGCCGTGACTGGGAGGAGCCCCTGCCCCTCCTAGGCCCTCTCCACACAGCCCCCACAGACTCAGCCCCGCCCCCTACAGGAAGAAGCCGGAGCTGGTGCGCTCGCCCATGGTGCCCCTGCCCATGCCCAAGAAGCTTCGGTTCAACATCACCCCCGAGATCAAGAGTGACATCGAGAAGGCCAAGCAGAACCTCAGCATGTAGGTGGCTGACCCTGTGCCTCCCCACCCCCACCCCCGCTCATGGGTCCCCGCTGGGCAGGGGCTCCCGAGGCCCGTTCTCACCCCCGCGGCCCACCCAGCATGATCCAGGATCTGGACATCATGGTGTTGGTGTTTCACCACTTCGGGAAGGACTTCCCCAAGTCCGAGAAGCTGAGCCCTGACGGCTTCTTCCAGATGGCCCTGCAGCTGGCCTACTACAGGTGTGCGTGCACCCCGGGTAGCCCGGCGGGACAGGCGGACGGCAGGGTGGGCGGGCGGCCTTGGGGCGGTGCTCAGCGCCCCTCCCCCCAGGATCTACGGGCAGGCCTGCGCCACCTACGAGAGCGCCTCCCTGCGCATGTTCCACCTGGGCCGCACCGACACCATCCGCTCGGCCTCCGCAGACTCGCTGGCCTTCGCCAAGGCCATGGATGACTCCAGTGTGCCGGTGAGAGCCCAGGCGGGGGTGGGGACCTGCACTGAGCCATCAGTACCCTCTGGCCATGCACCTGCGTGATCCCAGCTCTGTGGTGGGCAAAGGGAATCTAACAAGATGGAGCCGGGACTTTATTCAGTTATTCAGCTACCAGCAGTGAGTGTCGGCCCGGCTGGGGGCCGAGGAGATGGCAGCTCCAGTACGAGCTGAACTCCGGAGGAGCTTGCAGCCCCGTGCTGTGGGGGACGGTGGGCTCCTCAGGGAGCGCACAGGGAGGGACAGCGTCTCGGCCCCTCTTGCCCGCACTCCCCAGGAGCACCAGAAGGTGGAGCTGCTGCGGAAGGCCGTGCAAGCACACCGCGCCTACACCGACCGGGTGAGTGGGCACCCAGCGCAGCGCACTGGGAGGGGTGCTACTGACCCCCACTCCCTCCTGGGGAGGGCGAGGACGACCTGTTGCTTCCGCACCCGCTCCTGACAGCTCCTCCCCACTAGGCCATCCACGGGGAGGCCTTCGACCGCCACCTGCTGGGCCTCAAGCTGCAAGCCATCGAGGACCTGGTGAGCATGCCTGACATCTTCATGGACACCTCCTACGCCATTGCCATGCACTTCAACCTCTCCACCAGCCAGGTGGGCACTGCCGGGAGGGGGCGAGAACCCAGTGGGGCTGGGGCTGGGGCTGGGGCTCGGGCTCGGGGGCCGTGCGGATGGCTCACAGCCAGAGCAGCTGGGGCAGGAGGCACACGGCGACCCTGGGCAGGCGGGCAGGTGCCCCCAGCCCTGTAAGGAAATAGGCCTAGTCATTTGCTGGTGAGGCACCAAGAGTCGCCTGACGCGTGCCAGCCAGTGCTGGGTGCTGGGGTGCAACAGGGACAGACAAGGAGGGAAAAGCCAGGGCCCCCACAGAGGAAGGGACCCCGGGATCACTCGTCCGCAGAGGAGAGGCAGCAGCACCGTGCCAGAGAGAAGAGGGCGTCGGGCAGGCGGGTGGGGCAGGCGGGGCGTGAGACTGATCCTGCCCTCTCCAGGTCCCTGCCAAGACAGACTGTGTCATGTTCTTCGGGCCTGTGGTGCCCGACGGCTATGGTGTCTGCTACAATCCCATGGAGACCCACGTCAACTTCTCCGTGTCGGCCTACAACAGCTGCGCAGAGACCAACGCCGCCCGCATGGCGCATTACCTGGAGAAGGCGCTGCTGGACCTGCGCGAACTGCTGCAGCGCCACCCCCGGGCCAAGCTCTGAGCTCCCGAGCCCCGGTTCCCCGCCAGTCAAGTCCCTGGGGGTGGGTGCCCGCCAGGCTCAGCCCACAGCTCCCACAGCCCCGGCCCAGGTCTGACGGAGCCAGGGCCGGCATCCTCTCGTGGGCCCTGCAGCCCTACGCCAAGCGCCTCCCATGACTGTCCCAGGACCCGCCACAGCCAAGTGCTGGGCTCAGCGGAGGCGGAGCAGAACTGAGGACGGGGCCCCTGGCCCGGCCCCGCTGTGCCGTCCCTGGGCAGGAGCAAGTCCACCCAGCTCTTACCCAAGCAGGGGCCTGGAAAGGGCTCTGGGCCTCCCCAGGCAGGGAGAGCGCAAGGGGCTGTCCCTGTGGATGACGGGGCTCCGGAGCCCGGCCTCGCCGGCCCTGAGGAGCGCCGGTGTTACGTGAGGCGGACGTGTGGCGGAGTAATAAAGGGAAACGCGCTGGAGCAGATGAGTTTCAGTGAGTGGGGACAGCGCGGCAGGTGCCCGGCCTCGCTTGCTGCTGGCTCTCCCTGGCTCAGCCAGTGCCCAGGGGCTCCCAGATGTGCCAAGGAGCCCTCGTGCTGCGCCAGGCGCTGGTCCCGCTGACCCCAGTGAGCCAGGCAGGTGTGGCAGCAGCGGGCATCTCCAGGCCAGCCACCGCCAGGGCAAAACCACCCGGTGAGAACGTGGGCCTGTCCTGACCCGTGCACCCGGTGGAGGCAGAATGTGCAGCCAGTCGGACAGGCACAGAGCTGGGCCTGGGGTGCACTCCTAACCCTGGCTGTGTGGGAGGCCAAGGAGGAGGGTCAGAAGTTCAAGGCCAGTATGGGCATCTCTGTGAGACCCTGTCTCAAAATAGAAGGTGCTGGGGATGCAGCTCAGTAATGGGACCCTGGGTTCAATCCCCAGTATTATTTAAAAAACCAAAGTGACGTGGGCACATGCAGAACCCCTGAGCAGGTGCAGGGGTGGGAGCCGAAAGTGGAGGGGTCAGGGCTGAGGGTGCGGCCCGTGGTTCACTTGGTGGTTTGTGGTTTTGTTTTTGGCGATACGAGGCAGTGAACCCCAGGGCTTCACGCTAAGCTCCATCCTTAGCCCTTTTTAGAGTCAGATCTCACTAAGTTTCTCAGGCTGGGCTTGAACTCAGTTTTCCTGCCTCAGCCTCTTAAGAGTGCTGGAATTACCGACGGGCACAGCCACGCCCCAGCTTGTTTTTCAGATGAAGAAACAGGTTCAGAGGTTAAGTCACCAGGACATCAAGTGGCTGGGCAGAAATTCCTCAGGGACACCCTTGTCTCCTCCGGGCCAGTGTCCGAGAAGCCCACATGGTTCCGCAGCTGCTGCCCTGCACCACGTCCCCCAGCTGTCCCAGGGCGAGGAGGCTGTGGCACGGCTGCAGGCGGGGCTTGCTGCACCCAGTTCTCCCCAAAGGCTGGATGAGGGCAGCCACCTGCCCAAACCCCAGGGCGCAGGCGATGGAGCCTGCACACTGAGCTCCGTGGTAATCTTTCTGTGCTGGGGATGGAGCGCCGGGACACCCTACTACTGAGCAACATCCCAGCCCTTTTTTAGCTTTTGAGACAGGGTTTTACTAAGTTGCCCAAGCTGCCCTGGAACTTAGGATCCTCCTGCCTCAGCCTCCCAAACAGCTAGTAGCCCACTGGTGTTTACCACCGCCACATCTGACCCCTTCAAAATACAAAAACTATTCAGCCCAGAATTGAAGCTCGGGACACAGGCCCCTTCCTCCAGAAATGTTTGCTGCTGCCACACCTGGGATCCCCACCAGTCTGAAGTCGCCTTCACTGAGTGTGAAGGTTCTGGGGGACCCAGCCATGCCTTGGCACCGGGGTGAAGACAAGGTCGCTTCTGATTGGGCCTCACTCTGTGGGCGTGGTGGGGGCGTGGGTGGAGCTGGCTGTGATAACCAGCTCTGGTAACCGGGGTTTGATTCCTCAAGGCCTCTAAATACCTCTGGAGTGGCTGTTGCAACCATGCTTGCTGAGGGTGGGCCAGAGCCCCCCAGCACCGGCTGACTTTCGTGAGGCAACCTCCTCACTCGCCACAGGACCCTGGAACCAGACCAGACAGGTCCTGGTGCGAAATGTAGAGGCCGCCAAGGCCCTGCTTTAGGAACCAGAGCGGACTGGCTGGCTGACTAACTTTTGCTATTGGGGATTGAACATAGGCCTGAGCACTGAGCTACACTGCCAGGCCTTTTTATTTTTTCAGACAGGGTCTCACCAGGTTGCCCGAGCTGGGCTTGAATTTATAATCCTCCTGCCTCAGCCTCCCAGAGTTTTGAAATTACGCGTGTACAGCACCACACCCAGCTGGGACTAAATACCTTGCAGAGATGCTTATAATTTTATGGTCTCAACCGTACCCCTGTCCAGGGGGCACATGTCCCCAAAGCCTCTCGAGCTCAGTCGGCACATGCTCCAGCCACCAGAGTTTAAGATTTTATTTTAAAACAATAGTAAACAATTTCATTGGTTTTTTTTTTTTGTTTTGTTTTGTTTTGTTTTTTTCTGAAATCAAACCACCTCACACTTGGCTTATCTCAGGCAAAAAAGTACAAAATAAAAATCCTAAGGGGAGAGGAGGGAAACGTGGGCACTGACCTACCTTCTAGAAGTCAGCCCTGGTCCGGGCATCTAGAATGGCTTTGGACACTGCCTTAAATGAATGAGAAAAGAAAGCACCAAAAAATTGTGCTTCAGCAGCAGGTTAGAAACCTCCACAAAGAAAAGGGGGTGTCAGACACAGGTCCGTGGGGCGGGCACAGTTCTGGACACTTCGGGAGTCTGCGCGCATCTGCCCACAGCGCTGCAGTGACCTACAGGTCCCTCAGATGTCCTCCTGAGCCCAAGGCCCCAGGCCCGAGGGTGGTCCCAAACAGGTCCCCGGGTGGGGACCAGGACAGTTCGCGCACACACAGGGAAGGTGGGCTCGGCCGGCTCTGGCCCCTGGTGCTTGTTCAAGCCGGCTGGGGACTGACTGCTACCGTGGGACAGAAAGAGCTGTAAACAGCCTGGGTGTGCGCACCCACATGTGCAGGCTCTTTCGTCTGAAAGGGACAGTTGTCGTGGGGACAGGGGACCAGAGGAAGCCCTTGTGGTGTGGGGCGGGGCCGGGAACAACACAATGAGGCCAGCCGCATGCTTGCTCCAGCCCTGCCCCTTCGGAAACACTGAGAGGTCCTGGGACAGGCGGCGGGAGGCCGCCCTGCACACGGGAGCCGCCGCGCCGGCTCTCCCGGCCCCTCTCCAGACCCCTCCTGCCTTTGACAAACAATAAATAGTGCGCGCATCTCACGCCCCTTGGAGCTCCTGGTCCCAAGCCCAGAGGCGCAAGCCCCCGCTCTCCCCACACCCTGGTGCCCGTGCCAAGGGCGCGCTCCACCCTGCCGGGGACTGGCAGAGACAGCGAGGGTCTCTGGCCACGTGGCCCTGGGCAGCAGGCCCTCCCAGGGTCCTGCCTGAGGGGCTGGCTCAGCCCTTTGGTCCACCTGGTCCATTAAAATGAAAAGAAGGAAACAAAAAGGCTCCGCTTGGTGACTTGGGTCTGTAGAGGTCTCTGCTTCGTCCCTCTGTCTGTCATGCTGTCCACCCTGCAAGGCGTCACGCAGCCCAGATGTGGAGGCTGGACCCAGCCACGCCCACCAGTCACTGCAGCTTCGTCCCCAGCTTGCGCTGTCTGTTCCTGTGGACAGGGCAGGGTCACACGTGAGGGCGCACGCAGCTGTTCCCTGTGCTCTCGCAGCCCGGCCAGGCAGGCAGCGCCGACCCAGCCCCACCTGACCATAACTTCCACGGTCCGCGCCAGCTGGGCCCATGGGCGCTCCCGCCCCGGGCCTGGGCCCCGGAGAGCCAGGCTGTGCACCAAGTCCCGGGAAGCTGGTGAGCTCAGTACTGGGAGCTGTGCCAGCAGAGGCAGGAGACTGATAGGACACTGGTAGACCTGGAAGCTGCTTTGGGGTGCACCTGTGTCCACAGTGCAGTAGCCCAGGAACCCCATGGCAGCGGGGCAATCACCCTTATTCTCCAGAGATGCTGGCTGAGACCTGCGAGGAGAACAGGGCTTGTCTAGGTCCCCAGTTGAAACCTAAAGCCTCACTGTGGCCCACAAGGGCCCACGCTGCAGCCCAGTCCCCTGGCACCAGTGGCTCTGCCTCAGAGGCTTTGCGCCTCAGCCCCCTCTGCCGAGCGGCCCCTGCTGGCTGCCACCCCCCCAACACACACACGCATTAGTCCCAGTCACCAGCTCTCAGGCCACCACGCTCCGCTCCCCATCTCAAATCACACAGCTCGGGGCCTCGTTCACGGCTCCCTCTGCCGCAAGCACGAGGGGGACACGGCGGGCTGTCTCACTGCCACCCCAGCACCCCGGGCAGCCAGAGCAGGTGTGGGTGAATGAAGGCAGCTGGCAGGGCACGGCAGGGCAGGGCAGGGCCAGCCACTCTGGGGGCAGCCAGGTGGCGAGCTCAGCAGGGCCAGCTGGGGCCTTTCTGCCACTAATGGGATTGGCCTGCCCTAACCCTCCAATCCCCTTTCCTCGGGATCCCCTGTTCACTCTAAGCTCATTAGGCTCATTTGGACGCTGATACACTAAACACGGCGTGTTGCTGTTGGGGTGGCACCCGCCCGGCCCAGGGAAAACCTCCCTGGAGTCCTCTGGGGCCCCACCTGCCGCACTCCCCTCTGAACACAGAGGTGCCTGCCTTGCCCACCCTGAAAGCACCCCCCCTCAGGACTTCGGTGCACGGAAGGAAGACTGAGTCGGGAGGCCCTGGCGTGACTTGCTGTGTGCCTCAGCTTACCAGGCCACCCTAAGCCACCCAGCTCAACAGCATGGGTGCCACACACAGGCCCAGGGACCTCAGGGCCCACTCCTGGTTCTGGACTGGACAGGTTCCATGCGAGAGCTCTGGGACAACTGGCTCCCCCACCCCCCCTCCAAGAGGCCTCAGGCTGTGACTTCCGGTCTCTCTGAGCTCCGGCTTCCTCATCTGTAAAGTGGAGGTCACAGGAGAATTCAATAAAACAACGCAAGAAAAGCAGGCAAAGGCCTGGCTCCTGGGGAGCCCTGCAGGGACAGGGCGGTGGGGTCTGCTGTCCCCTTAACTCACCTGGCTTCTGCTCGGGTCACTGTGTATTCAAACCAGAGCACGTTGGGGATGAGGCTCGTGTCCCGGATCAGGAGGAACTCAGAGATAGGCCTGCGGAGACAGAGAGATGCTCGCAGAGCCAGCGCTGCATCAGGAGCAGCTGCCACCAAGCCGGTACCTCCCCAGGTCCTGGGGCCGCCTGCCCCCTCCCCTGCTGCCTACAGTGTCTTTGCCTGGCCTGCAGCCCCAGAGCCACTGAGGCCCTGCTGTGCCACCCGCATCACCAGGCAGGGATGCTGCCCTGTGGTACCTACAGCCCAGCGGGACTCAGGCTGCTTTCTAAGTTCTAGGTGGGTACAGAGGATGCACCTCCATCCCTGTAGTAAGCCCCTGAGGAGGGGGCCTCAGCTCCTGCCACCTGGGCCTGGCACTGCCCTCTTAGAGGGGCTGGGCTGGGGTCCGGGCATGGAAGTCAGCACAGGGGAGGGGACAGGGCCACAGTGCTGGGAGGCAGGAGGGGAAGGAGACAGTTACCAGGCTGCTATCCTGGGGAACAGTGGGGTGAGGACCTCCTGGGTGAAGATGAACCAGGCGACGGCCATGAGGCTTCCAGCGACGCCCCCATACAGCACCTGGCTCCAGGTGTGGTACAACAGGTAGACCCTAGGTCAAGGCCAGAAGGGAAGTTTACGAGAGCCACCGGGGACAGGCAGCGCAGTGGCCCACACCAGGGCTGGCTACCTGGGGACCTGTGCGCGCACGCAGAGATCCACACGGGCGGGTGGGTCTCGGAAAAGGCTGCAGCTCAGCTTCCAGGGGCCTGCAGGGCACCCTAGTGGCTGCCCCAGTGGCTGGGCTGGGGTTTGCTGTCCGCCTACCCAGCTCATCAACTCTGGGGAGCTAGGACTACACAGCCCATGCCCGTGTCCCCAGGACTGTGAGATCAGCAAACTGGCCAGGAGAGGTGGCGAAGGCCCCATCCGTTTAGAACAAGCCTCTCCAGCCTTGCCCTGCAGGCTCTAGGACTGCAGCCGCATGGGTCCCATGGGGACCGAGAACCCAGCGGGGCCCGAGTGGGTGGGTGCAGGCGGGGGTCCCGTCCTGTACCTGCTGTAGGAGACCAGAAAGGCCGCGGTGAGGAGCCCCAGGGACAGCACGTGCCTCCACAGCAAATCTAGGAACCTGGCGTTATTTGTCTGGTGCATTCTGGAAAGACAGGCCCAGCCTGGGCTTAGTCCCCAGTCAGGGTCCAGGCTCCCTGCAGAGCCCCAGCCCCAGCCAAATGCTCCTGGAACCTTCTGCCCTCCCCGCGGCCCCCGCGCCCCAGAGGGCACGTGGAGGGTGGGCAGTGAGCCCCCAGCAGAGCCCAGCCCGGGCCAGAAGCTCACCTTAAATACAGGAAGAGGAAGGAGTAGACAGAGAAGAACCACATGAACTGGGAATGGCTCGAGGGCATCCCGTACTTAGTGCCCACGGCTGCGTGGGGGCCTGGGGCAGAAAGGAGACCGGGCGTCAGGGGGCGGTGCCCTGGCCGGGGGACCCCGCACACCCCAGCCCAGGCCCTACCTCCGCAGGGCCGTGGCTCCTGGATGACGTGTTTGATCAGCCAGTTGACTCCCTCGTTCAGTCCCAGGCCCCCGAGGAAAGAGATCTGCCGGGGAAGACACACGCTCAGCTGGGCCTCCGGACACCTGGCGGCCACCGCCCTGTCCCAGTGACCACGGCTCCAACTGGGTCTCCAGGCCCGGCAGCACACTACCTGCTCCAGGGGGGGCACCGCAGCTCGAGACAGGCCGGGGGAGGGAGCGGCGCGGACGGACTCACCGTGTGCAGCTCCCGCTTGAAGATGATGAGCGTCACAAAGCCGACGATGACGAACACAGGGCCGAGGCTCAGGTAGGCAAGGAGGTGGCCGGAGAGATCACCTGCGGGCGAAAGGCAGCGGGATGAGGAGGGGGCACGGGCATCGGAGGAGGGGCCCGCGCGGGACGCACTTGGTGACCGCTCCTGCTCACGCGCTGGGAGCTTAAAGCGGTGCCTTTATTGTCCCCACTCTACAGTCCAAGGAAAGGAGCGCCAGACGGGTTATGTGACGTCCCCAGCCACAGGGCCAGAAAGAAACTGGACTTGGAGGGTCCACATCTCTGGCCTGGTCCAGATACCACAGCCATGATCTTGCTCAAGCGGAAACCCGAGCCCCGCTTGGTCTGACGCCACAGGCCAGAAATCCCACCCCTGCACGGCTGGCCGTCACCCTCCAGACGAGCCTGAGTGGGGGCTGTGAGGACCAGTGGGCTTTCTGACACGTGGGGACACCAAAGCCAAGGGGTGAGAGCCACTTCCCGCCCCCAGCCCACACGCAAGGCTGAGTCCGAAGGTCGCCCCCACCGTTTACCACGAAGTGGCCACGTGGTCAGTCTGAGGTCAGGGGACACAGTTCAGTTCCTGTGCCAGCACGTGCTCCCTGCGTGAACTTCACCCCTGGGTCTCGGGCTGGTCCCTGACGCCTGGGACACCTCCATGCTAGGGCTCAGGCGGAGGCTGGGAGAACCCAGGAGGCCGCAGCTGCCACGAGCAGCAGGGAAGGCGCCCGCGGAGGGCTGCTTGAGACGCCGGGCGGAAGCAGTGTGCACACGCGCCCCAGGAGAGGCTGGCTTTGAGGTGGCCGACAGAACAGGACAGCAACCCAAGCTCAAACGCTGGTGCCCCTCAGTCCCAGACGGGGACACTGAGCGAGTCCCTTCCCTTGTCAGGGCCTCTGTCTCCCCTCCCACCCGAGATTCCGGTCCCACCACTGCACTGGTGCCACCAAGCCTTCAGGGACCTCCTCAGTCTGTCCCACTGCTGCCTCTACCCTGGGCCCTTCCTGCAGCACTGCCAAGGACTCTGGCCTTGCCACATTTCGATCTCAAGCCCGCTGTGGCTCCCACTGCCCTCGGGGGCTGCTCTCTGCCACCTCTGTCCTAGTTCTAGGGACGGGACTCGTTCCCTGGATGCACGACATGCTGTCCTAATTCTGGACCTCTGCACACACTGTTTGCCCCACCTGGGATGTTGCCAGGGTGACCTCAGCGTGCACTATGTACCGACCAGAGCGGCTGGGAGAGAGACAGGCGCAACTCTGCCATCGCAGAGCTCTCAGTCTGCCGTGTAATGGGGACATGGTTCAGGAGCTGCTAGATGGTAAGGCTACTGGGCCAGTGTCTGTCATTCCCTCCTCCTTGTAGGCCCCTAGGAGTGGGGACAAAGTCTTTCTATGTCCCACTCTACTCCTCAAACCCAGAACAGTGTTGAAAAGCTGAGATAAAAGCCGGGTGTGCTGGCACACGCCTGTGATCCCCGCACTCAGGAGGCTGAGGCAGGAGAATCACTGCGAGTTCAAGACCAGCCTCAGCTAGAAAGTGGGCACAAGGCCAGCCTGAACTGCATAGCAAGACCTTGTCTCAAAAAGACAAAAAAAAAAAAAAACAAGGATGGTGAATGAATCAAGTTCAGTGCAATGAGGGTGTGAAGAAGTGCAGCACGTCCCACAAGTACGTGCAGGGGACTTGACCTCGCCAGTGTCACCAGGCTCCACCAGCCCCTCATTACCCACTGCAGACCTGTCGCTTCCCAGATGCCAGGCTCTTTCTTGATTGCTACAATGTGAGCCCCCAGAAAAGCCGCACTGAACACGGAGAGAGGAAGTCACGAAGGAGCTGAGGCTTCAGTCAAGTCCCTGGCCGGCTCTGAGCCTCGGTGTCCCTCCTAGAAAGCAGAGATCGTCCCCAGAGCAGAGGTGCATGGGCCGATCAAGCCTGTGCAGCCATCGAAGCCCAGAGCTGGCCCTAGACCTACGTTCTGAGAGGCCACACGGGTCTCTGGCTCAATGAATGAATGAATGAATGGTGGGTGGGTGGGTGGGCAAGTGGATGGGGCCCAGCACCCGGCAGGGCTCCCCCACCCCCAGGATAGGCCAGAACACCGAAGTTCTCTGGCATCCAGCCCCGGGGCCCTGAGCAGGGCCGGGTTGCCACATCCCTGCCCAAGGGAGCAGCAAGAGACCCTTTCTGGGCAATCAGGGCTCAGTGAGCGGCTCCCCGTCACCCCGCTGGAACTCTCCTACAGGGAGGTGCTGCGACAGCCGGGCAACGCGGGCTGCAGGTGTTGACGGATGTTTATGGTGCGAACGCCCCGCACCCAGCCCTTCTCAGGCCTGCCGTCATCCGATTCACGCCGAAGGGAGGAGCCCTGCTTAATGCCACTTTGGAGATGAAGTAATTGAGCCGGGGCGGGGGGAGGCACTTGCACAAGGCTTCAGCCTCCACCGGGGCCCGGACACATCCGACCTAAAGGCCCAGGCGCCGCACTCTCCCCCTGGATCGCCTCCTTCGGTCGCCAGCAGACTTCCCAAGCGGAAGGCTCTGCGCCTCTGGAGGTGTGTCTGACGGGAGGCTCCATCCCGGGGCTGCCCGCCTCCTCGCCCGCCCGGCGCCTTCTGTGTGCGCTGCTCGGGGCGCGACACCCCAATTCTCACAAGCCTGGCCTCGGCTTGCACACTCCCTGCAACAGGGAGCTCTTTCTCTTGCAGGCAGCCCGGGGCACTGTGAAGCGGCACTCCTGCACGCCGGGGCACGGAGTGCGGCCTCTCCCGCTCCGGACAAGGCAGGAAAGAAGGGCCAAGGTCCGGGCCAGTGGCCGTTCCCAGCTCACACGGATCCCCGCCGCCCCGCATCCCACCCGCGCCCCGGGACCCGCGGGAGCGCCGGCCGCGCAGCCGCAGAGCGCGCGAGCGAGCGCCTCACAATTTCGCCCAGCTCATCGCCGCCCCACTGCGCCTGCGCGGCGCGCGCCGGCCGAGCCCCTCCGCGGCTCACTATTTGACAGTTCCCACCCCGGTCCCTCGGCGCCCCCTCCGCCAGCCTGTGCGGGCCGAGGCGCCTGGGGCCGAGAGGCCGACCTCGGGAGGGCGTCCTCGGCGTGGGCGCCGCCTTTTACCTGCAGGATATTCGACGTGGGTGAGGGTCACCGGCCGCCATGAAGCGGGGAGCGAGCACTGTCCGTCCGCTGCCATCTTACCCGGAGACCGGGCTTCGCCGAGCAGCCAATGGGGAGCCAGGGGGGCGGTGGTCCTGACCTATCACTCAGGGGAGGCGCCACGCATCCAATCGGAGCTCGAGACAGGTAGCCGCGCAGCCATTCAGCGTGCAGGCCGTGTGTCTGGACCGAGAAGCCAATCAGGGAGCGGGGCCCCTAGGAGCCTTCGAGACCGCCCCTCCAGCACCCAATCCGTGGCGAGTACAGGTAGTTGTCGAGCCAATCAGGAAAAGGGAGGGTTCCAGCGCACAACAGAAAGCAGGACAGCCAATCAGGAGGTGAAACTGGTTCACAGTGTGGGCAGAGCGGGCCAATTAGGAACTAGTTTGGGGGGCGTGTTGTTCTTTGGTGGGAGCTTTGGTTTGGCTGGGACCTGCGCCCGGCAGTGAAGGCTTCCCGAACACCGGCGGCCTCCCGCGATCGGCGGGACCTGCGGGATCTGCGTGCCCGTGACAATGCCTCCTCGCAGTGCAGCGGGAACCTCAGCACCACACCGGGGTCTGAACCGGCCCACTTTTCATTATGAGTAAACTGAGGCCAAAGATCCAGGGTGAATTTATTTTTCCCTTTCTCTTTAAATTGTGTGGGTGAAAAAAAAAGTGTGTGGGCAAACCGGGTGTGGTGGAGCATGCCTGTAATTCCAGCTGACCAGGAGGCTGAGGCAGAAGGATCTCCAGTTCAAGCCCAACCTAGGCAATTTAGTGAGACACTGTCCAAAAAATGAGGGGGCTGGGGATGTAGCTCAGTGTGAAGGCCTTGGGATCAACCCCCAGGACCAGGGTGGGTGGGGAAGGCTTCACTTTTCCCTCATTAACAGGCACGTGTTGGTTGAGCCTTATCTGCGCTCTTTAAGGAGGCATCTTGGGAGTGCATTAAACAGGAAAGTGGTTTTCCACCTTCCGGCACCCTGTCTCCCCAGACACCCCTGCGGAGTGCCCGGCCTCCCACCCGCCTGCCCCTACCCGCGCTCTGCAGCACACTGCCTTACAGCACGGGCTGCATTTGACATTTCCCTGCCCAGCCCGCACCTGCCCTCCGCCCCACTGCGCTGAGCCACGTCTTTGGGGTTCCATGGCCAAGTGAGGGCCTCCCCTGGGTACCCCCTTGGCTATGTTTGTCCTCAACACGGTGGACTGTCACGAGGCAGGGCATCATGCAGACTCCTGGGGCCCACCGGGACCAGCTTGAGTCATTAGGTCTGGGTTGTCCTCTGCTTTCGTAGTCCGCATCTGTGGCACGGAATCAAACCCAGGGACCCTGCAGTGAGCTGCATCCCAGCCCTGGATTTTTTAAATTTTGAGACAGGGTCCCACTCATCACTAGGTTGCTTGGGCTGGGCTGGAGCTGGAGGTCCTCCTGCCTCAGACTCCCGGAGGGCTGGGGTTGCAGAGTGGGCCACCACGGCCTGCTGGCCTCTGTATTCTGGATTTCAGGGTTTCTGACACAGCTGACTGTATGTGAGAATGAACTGGAGAATCACACTGACCAAGTAAGTGGCAGTTCTGCCAGCCCATCTGGACCATGGCCCAGGAGACGATCGTGACTCAGGACCCCGCTCAGCTGTGCCCGGCACCCTCCTCTCCTCCCCTTCAGGCCCAGCCTGGCTTGTCCGGGTCACTGGGCCCCATGCCGCTGTCACCTACCTCAGGCATTGCCATTATTAGCCTCTGAGAAGCAGGAGGTGTGAGCAAGGGGCTGCCAGGTTCCTGGAATAGCTCCTGGGACAGGGCTGCCACCCCCGCCCCCAAGCACAGTCTCATCAGACCCAAGTCCTCCTGCCTCAGCAGCGTGGTCCCGAGGAAGTGACAGGGATGAGGAAGGGCGAGATGAGTGGGACCATCCAGTGCTGGGGCTTCCGGAAAGAGGGACCAGCAGGAGCAAGTGTCCTGGGCAGACAAGGACAGAGCAACGCTCAGGAGGATGCGTGGGTTGTTCTGTTTTTTAATTAAAATGTTACATTCAAGCCAAATGTGGCAGACGTGTGCCTGTAATGCCAGCACTCAGAAGGCTGAGGCAGGAGAATTGCTGCAAGTTCAAGGCTACCCTGGGGGTACATAGCAAGACTCTGTCTCAAAAATAAATGAATAAAATATTACATGCATACAGAAAGTTCCAGAAATCAAAAGTGTACAGTGTAGGGGCTGAGGGTGGCTCATTAATAGAGCACTTGCCTTAGCACACATGAGGCCCTGGATTCTATCCCCAGCACCACACACACACAAAAAGCATACAGTTTAATGCTGCCTCATAAAGAAGACGCACCTGGAAGTGCTGGTGCAGGCCTGTAATCCCAGCACTGGGGAGGCTGGAGCAGGAGGAGTGCCACCAGGTCTAGGCTGGGAAGTGCAGGGTGAATACCATGAGACGACCCCACCTCCCCTATCTGAGCTGGGCTTGGGTAGCGGTGTCCCCAGGTCCTGCTGAGCCTCCTGCAAGGTCCGTCCTCGGCCAGGCCCATGAACCCCGGTTACAGATGAGATCAGCAAGGCTCAGCGCATCTGACTGCTTGCCCTGTGCTTCTGGCTTGTGTGCAGCAGAGCCAGGACTCGAACCCGGGCCTGCCTGGTGGGCGCTCAGTGCCACGCTGTCTCTGAACAGCTGCTCCTGCCACAGCCCCAGCGGGCCCCTTGGCCAGTACTGAGACCAAGCTTCTCAAGGGTCAATGGCCCAGGTGAGGGGCTGGCCTGGACATTTGTGGGTTTCGGTGACGGGGACATGGCCAGCCCAGGTGCTGCCCGTAAGAAGTGCCCGTGCCTTAGCAGCTGTGAACTCCTGATGACCGCTGGAAAAGCCAGCAGTCTCACCAGTGTCGTTGCCACCTCCACGGGGGCCCAGCCAGGCCTCTCCTGGCTTCTGGAGGGCGGGGCCAGGGGCCACACACCCGAGGACAGCTCCGTGACAGAAATGGCTGCGAGCCTCTGGCTTCTGCATCTGCCGATTCCACGGTAACGTGCTCGTCTGGGGTCGGGCTGTGCTACCAGGAGGTCACGCGATGTCGGGAGAGGCCGCCTCCTCTCCCCCTCGAGCCGCAGAACGCACACCGTGCTGCACCCTCGGACCAGCACCAAGCTGGCTTCGCCTTGAGCTACACGCTGGCACTGTGCCTGCGCTGGGACTTCTGCGGGGTCCCTCACACAGCTGGTGACGGTCGGGCTCGGGTAGTGCCCCGCAGCCCTTCAGGGTCGGGCCTGGCGGAGAGATTTGGGGGCCCTGGCACTGCGTTCTGCTCTGAGGAGGTGCTCCAGGCTGGCAAGAGGGGCGTCAGGACCCCAGCGCCAGTTTAAGGAGCTCCCGCTGGCCACATGTGCCACCGCTTGAGCTTCAAAAGAATGACTGTCACTGAGTGTAAAATACTGAATAATTTAAACCCACAAGTCCACAGTGGTGGCACAGAAGGAGGGCAAGATTAATTTGCTGAACACCAACAACAAAAGAATAAGATACCAGCTGTGAAAGGAGCGAACCTCAAAAAATATTCTATGGGAAGAAGCCAAAGCAGAAGACCACATATCACACCGCTCCGCTTATAGAAAATGCTCAAAAAAGATGGTTCCTGGGAGGGGAAGCAGGCAGGTGATGCCCGGGGATGTAGTGCGGTCTTGGGGTTTTCTAGGGTGACGGAAACATCCAGGAACTGTACGGTGGGTGGGCGTGGTGGTGCACACCTGTCATCCCAGCACTGGGAAGGCTGAGGCAGGACGATTGCCGTGAGTTCAAGGCCACCCAACACTCCATTGTGAGTTCAAGCCCAGCCCAAACCTTGTTTTAAAAAAAATCTATCAACGTGCATTGCGGTAGCAGACAGACCTCTGCTAATTTACCAACAGCAGTAAATCAGGTGCGTCTTATGTATACATGTTAAAGCTGTTTAAACAAACTGGGTGCAGGGCAGAGCTCAGGGGTAGAGCATGTGCTTAGCATGGATGAAGCCCAGGGTTCAATTTCCAGCACCAAAAAAAAGCCCACTTACTCACTAGCATGAGTGACCACTTCAGCTCGCACCCCTAGAATGAGGGGGAGAGTGCACACACATCCCGCTTTTTATTCTTGAGATGGGTGTCACTGTGCTACCCAGGCTAGTCAAGGAAACCTCCTGCCTCAGCCTTCCTCGGGGTTCGAGGCTGGGATCACAGGTGTGCACCATCACACCTGGCATGCATCCTTTTTAGCTGGGACTGGGTTAGGAAAAGTTCCTCTTCAGACTCCTGGTGAAGACATTGAGAATCACTGATGGCAGGCTGGGGATTTAGCTCAGTGGCACAGCGCCTGCCCGGCAAGCACAAGGTCACGAGTTTGATTCCCGGTACCAGGAAAAAAAAATCACTTCTTAGGTGCCACTTGGGCTGTGCTGAAGAACTACCTTAGGTTGTGTTTTGAACCCAAGTTCATGTCTGAAACTCACTCTGAAATATTTTGAAAAATATGCACATGAAGCAAATGTGGCACAATGTTCATTACTGACTAGAGCTGTTGGCTTTCTGGGTGTCCTTCGTAGGCTTTTGCTTTTTTGCAGTGCTGGTGCTAAACCCAAGGCCTCAGGCTAGCCTGATGCTCTACCATAAAGGGCTTTTTCTTTTAACCTTTCTGTATAGTTGAACATTTTTCTTTAGAGACAGGGATCTCGCTGTGTGATTCAGGCTGGCCTTGAACCTGAGCTTCTCCTGCCTCAGCCACTGAAACTCTGGGACCACAAGCTTGAGCCACCACAGCCAGCTTGGCCCTGATCGCTGCACTGCCCAGGACATGTGGACGCTCCCAGGCTGCCGAGTGACCCCAGGGGGATCACAGCTCCCCTCCCCAGGCCTCTCCCAACCTGGAAACTCCCCACCACCAAAGAGGGGCCCCAGCTGTGGCCTGAGGAGCACCCCGCCCCAGTAGCAACGCATAGCGGGCTGGGTCCAGTCTTTTATTTGACTCAGGTTGATGCTGGCGCTCTGCGAACGGGTGCACGCCGTGAGTGCAAGTGCCAGCGCGCAGATGTGTGGACAAAGACGAACAAAAACGCCGCTTCTGGTGACCGGGGCAACCAGGCGGGCCACATTCACAGCGCTAAGTGCAAATGAGCGGAATGTGGGTGCAGCTGGGGCGGAGGGGCCCGGCTCGCGCCCCCGGTCCTCGGGGTGGGGCCCGGCTCCTTCCAGTGCCCTCTCAGTGTGCGTCTCCCACACGGTCTCGGAAGGGGCAGAAGCTCCGAATAAAGTGTTAAGGCAATAAATAAAACTTGCAGAGAGCACTGCAGAGTCCCCGCAGCCACGCTGCCCTGTGCCGCCCGCCCTCGCGGCTGGCCAGCAGGCGGCCCAGCCCCGTGCCCCTGCGCCTCCCCCAGCAGGTGTGCGCATCACTTGAAGGCCAAGCCCTGGGCAGTTTCTGGTCCTGACGAGGGGAGCTGGTCCATCTGTGAACATCCCGACCCCCCGCCGTGGCCCCTGGGACCCTCTCTCCAGGGCAGCTGATGGCAGCACAGGTGACGGCCCAGGACCCTGGTCCCAGCCCCCAGCTCCGAGCTCCGCACCGCGCAGGGACTCCCAGGTTCACAGGAGGGGTGGTGGAGGGGACCCGGCAGTACCCGCTTGGTAGCGGCACTGGCGGGGCGGGGAAGGAGGGCAGCGTACTGGGGTGGTGCTGGGGGCGCAGAGCCACCTCTGCCGCGCCCCAGAGGGCCCGGTGGCCCCCTGCCCTGTCCCCCACCCCTGTGGTCATCTGCAGACTGGGGAGGTGGCCAGGGTGGGGTGCGCAGACATCCGCGCTGAGACGCACAGCTGCGAGGCGCTCAGGCTCCGGACGCCGTGACCTCCGCCTCACCAGAGCCCTGCCGCCTGCTCCTCACCGCCACCCTCCCCACGCCCTGGCTCTTCGGGTCCCGGCGGTCCTCAGTGCCCTTCCTCACGACCCTGCTCTCCTGCTGTCCCCAGGGTCCACCTAGGGCCCCAGCCCTGGGCTCCACCCTCTCTGGGGAATGCTGCCCTCTGAGCTGTGGCGGGCCCGTCAGCGGGGTGGGCGAGCTTGGGCGCCACCCAAAGGGGGCACGGCTCCTCTGCCGTCACCAGTGCAGGCGGGACCCAGGCAGCCGGGGTCCCCTCCAGCAGCTACTGGAGCCCCCCGGGGGGCCCGTTCCCTCGGGGCAGTGCCCCGTTCAGGCTGACGCTGCTGGCCGCTGGCGCCCCCAGGTAGCCCAGCAGGATCTCGCTGCGGCGCCGGGACAGCTGCAGGATGTCGTCGGCCAGCGCGGGCACCGAGGTGTAGCGCACGTTGTCCAGGTCAAACATGTCCCGCAGGTACTGCAGGATCTGGTGCTGGGGACACAGGGCGGGCAGGCGCCTGGGTCGCCAAATGACATCCCGCCAAGCCCACGCAGTCCCCTTCTCCACCCTGGGGACCCCTGTGCTGGCTCCTGGGCAGGGACAGGAGCACTGCACCCCACCTACCTTGAAGAAAGCACAGACTTCTGCGAGCTGGGGCTTGGGGCCGAGGAAGCCAAAGGCCAGGACAGGGCTAACGTGCTCCGATACGGAGTAGAAGTGGGAGATGAAGCCGTCAGGCACCTGCAGCGGAGGCAGGTTCAGGAACGGGGCTAGGGGTGGAAGGGGGACCCCGGCACACAGTGCGGGCCTTTGCAGCCCTGCTTTCCACATCTGCAGAAGGGGCACCGGGGGCCGCTGGGAGTGTGCCCAGGCTGGAGCCTGGTGGGTGTGGCAAGGGGCACTGGCAGCTGGCATTTGACAGCAGAGCCATAGGTGGAGAGGGCAGTGGGTGCCCACCGCCCACACTCCCAGGATGCCCCTGCCCTCTGCGGGGTGCCTCGTTGGGTCCTCATGGCACCCTCCATGCCTGGCCTTGGGGAGGAGATGAAGGGGACACGTGACCTCTGGGAGTACTGGCCACTGGAGGGAGGATTGATGGTGGGGAGCAGCGTGCGGAGCGCTAAAGGCCAGAAGTGGGGCTGGGCAGGGTTCTGGGCCCCTCCCCGCCAGTCCTCTAGGCCCGGGGGTCACTCACCATCAGGAGCCGCCTCTTGGCTTTCAGGACTGACCAGCACGCAGTGGCCAAGGCCTAAAGCAGAGGGAGCGCAGCCGTGTGAGAACAGTCGCGACTGCCAGCCCCGACGGCGCCACCCAAGCAGGAGGAAGCCCGGCCGAGGCTGGGGCTGAGCTGCGCCTCCACCTGGATCCGCACTCAAGCCTGCCTGCCGCGGCCCGATTCACCCTGAGCTCGCGTCCTCAGCTACCCATGCTAGGGGCTGCGGGAGCAGGCCAGCCGAGTGCGCGAGCACAGCTGCCCTGGAGTCACAGGTGCCCCCGTGGGCTTCTCCCGACCCAGCTCCCCTCTTCTTGTCTAGGAGGTCATTTTCATTTTTCCTTTTTTTTTTTTTGGTTGAGACAAGGTCTCACAACACAGTGCAGGCTGGCCTTGAACTTGTGGCGATCCTGCCTCAGCCTCCCTAGTGCTGGATCACAGGGACCCACCTCCCTGGTGGTGCACCACCACCGCCAGCTCCTTTTTCCTGGTTCTAATTTAACAGCTGCAGTGAACAACCAGTAGGATCAAAGCCAGCTCAGAAGGGGGCTGGGGATTTAGCTCAGCGGCAAAAGTGCTTGCCTGGCAAGTGCAAGGTCGTGAGTTCGGTTCCCGGTACCGGAGAAAAACCAAAAAAAAAAAAAAAACAAAAAAAAAAAAACAAAAAATAAAAAAAAATTTAAAAAAGCCAGCTCAGAAGGAGCAGCAGCGACCGAGAGAACCCAGAGGGCGGCCGGCGCCTGCCTCGTGGGTCTGCAGGGCCCAGGGCAGCAGTGGGTGGCCGTGGAATGAGCCCAAGGGGGCGGCCCAGGAGCAGCGGGGCCGGCGAACGCCTGGGTCTGTGACAGCAGGCTGGGGGCAGGTGGCAGCCTACCTACCGTCTCCTTAAAGCTATCGGACAGCCAGCGGTTCCGCAGCACAGCGAGCACGGAGGACGGGGGCTTCTCCAGGTCCTCGAAGGCGTCCATGAGGATGAAGTCGAGCACGATGTCGAAGAAGCCCATGCACACCACCTGCAGGGCCACCGCAGAGGGGCTGGCTGGGGCCGGGCCGCGGGCGCGCTGGGGGCCGAACAGCACACCTCACACGCACGCCCTCCCCGCTCCGCTCGGAGCCCCCAGCTCAGCAGCGGGCGACTCACCCCACGGCCCTCCAGCTCCAGCCGCGTGGTGGCCCAGGTCTCGGGGCGCAGGGCGTAGCTCAGCATCTCCTCATAGCTCTCCAGGAAGCCCTTGGGGCTCTGCGGGGAGAAGCACGGCCTGTTGCGGCTGGGAGCGGCCAGGAGCCCCAGCTGCACAACCACAGGGACGGGCTGGGGTGGCTGGGGACGCGGCAGGGCTCGCTGGGAGAACAAGAGCAGGCGGGGTCCTGCCGGCCTGCATCGCGCCTCCCAGGGGAGTGGGTGTCCCGTGCTGCTGAGGCTGCCGCCGTCTTCCCAAGCCGGGCACAGCCCTCCAGCTCGGCCTGGCTGCACAGGGACAGTGCCAACGTGCAGCTCAGAGCCAGGGGGCTAAGCATACGAACCTCCAGGGCCTGCGCCACAGGGGAGAAGGCACAGCCTGCGCTCCTGAGGCAGTACCCATAATGAACTTGGCCCAGGGCACCGACGCTTTTGATACCCAACGGCTAAGACTGCTGCAGGGAAGTAATCCCAACACTTGGGAGGCTGAGGCAGGAGGATTGCCATGAGTTCGACACCAGCCTGGGCTACATAGAGAGTTCAAGGCCAGCCTGAACTGCATATGGAGACCTTGTCTCAAAACACCAACTAAACCAAACCAACAAATACAATTCGCTGCAGTGGGCCTACACTTACAGACACAGAGAGAGAGTGAATGAGCTCAGGCTACAGACCTGGCAGCAGAAACAGGAGAGTCTCAGGCAGGCAGAGGACGAGGGCAAATAAGGGCTTAAAAATCATTACCCAGCATGTGGAAAAAAAAGACCTGAAAGGCCTGTTCGAAAGCTCTACTCCTAAAAAACAACAACAACAACAAAAAACCCCTCTACTCCTGAGCAAGGGATAGTGGCTCACGCCTATAATCCCAGAACTCAGGAGGCTGAGGCAGAAGGATCACTGCCACTCCGAGGCCAGCCTGGGCGACATACTGAGGCCGTCTCAAAACAAACAAAAGGTTTGCTCCAATCCATTAAAACACACGTGACCAATAAACACGAAAAATTATTACAGCCTCAGCTGTAACCAGACAGGAGAAAGGAACAGATAAAACGATGACAAGGTTGCTATTATCCTCATGGGCCAAGATTCCGGGAAATCCCCGCTCATGCAGGGAAGACAGGGTCAAGGCCTGTCTTGAGGGGAAAATGACAAGACCTGGCACCTGTGACCCAAGACACTGCAGAGGGCTAACTGAGGAGGGTGAGCAGTGACCTGTGACGTCAAAAGCAGTCGCCACCCACAGGTGCCGTGAGGGACCTGGACAGACCACAGCCAGCCCACACAGTGGGGCCTGATGCAGTCAGCGACAGTCACCCCGTGCCTGTGCTGCGCAGCTGACCGCCTACGCTTTGGCCCAGAGGGCCAGCAGGAAGGTGCACAGGTTGGCAAATGGGACGCACTATCCAAGGTGCACAGCGCCCAGGGGGCGGCAGGAGGGCGCGGGCAGTGTGTTTCCACAGCCGCCATAGACAGGCCACCTTCTACAGCTTGTATTTTACAACTGGTGAAGTTTGTACGGCTGCACTACATTGGAATCCAACATACAACAGCAATACAGAGCTCTGCTTTTCAGAACTTGCCCAGGGAAATAAACCGCAACCTGTGAGGCGTGGTGGCGTAAGCCTGTGATCCTAGCACTGTAAGAGGCTGAGACAGGAGGACTGCAAGTTCCAGCCCAGGATGAACAACTTAGTGACTGGCAAGACCCTGTCTCAAAATAAAAAAGTCACGCGTGGTGGTGTACGCCTGTAATGCCAGCACTCCGGAGGCTGAGGCAGGAGGATCAGTTCAAGTTTGACGCCAGCCTGGCTACAAAGTGAGCTCAAGGTCAGCCTGAACTGCATAGCAAGACCTGTCTCAAAAAGACAAAAAATAAAAAAACAGGCTGGGGATGCAGCTCAGGGAGAGTGCCCCAGTACCATAAAATGAAACAAAACAACAAAACCCTAGCCCTCTCCCCGTCCCCCATGGCCACAGCATAAAGACAGAGCTCCTGTGCTTGATTTTAATTTTTTTTTCCTCAAAACAACAACAAAAACCAGGAATGGGTTACGAATCTGGGGAAGGTCTGTGGGGAAGGAAAGCGGAACCCACCCCCGCCCAATACCTTCTCGGCCTTGGTCATCAGCCCCGTCACCATCTGCCGGCCGACCTCCCCGAAGAAAAGCTGGTTCCCCGGGTCCTCCAGAAGCCCCTGGAGGTGACAGAGTGGAAGCGGGTAGGGCACCAAGGGGCAGGTGACACCACGTGTAGGCAGGGCCGGCCTGACTGACCCTCCTCCTGGCTCCACCCCCAGGAAGCCACACCCACCTCGAAGGCCTGCCGGATGCAGTGAAGCTTGGCTAGGAAGTCCTGGTCACTGTAGCAGCCGAGCAGCTCGGTCCTGGAGGGAGCAGACAGCATCACCACATGGCTCAGCCGCCCTTTACCCACATCACCAGGGCTTCAACCGGAGCTTCCATCATGTTTGATTAATGGACTTGTTTTTGTCTTTCAGATGGGGTCTTGCTAAGTTACCCAGGTTTGTCTTGAACTTGAGATTCTCCTGCCTCAGCCTTCAAAGTACCGGAATTATAGGCATGCACTAGTACGCCAGGCGCCCAGTGGACCTTTAAACGTGCTTAAACCTGCAAGCCATGATCAGAAAACCAAGCCTGTGTTTCACCCTTCAGGAAAGTTCACGGAAGACGACTAAGACAGCTCCAGGGAAGCACAGGAAAGGATGCCACGGCCACCTGCTCAGGCCATGCACTACGAAGTGGCAGAACCTGGAGAGAGCTGGGTCGGTCCTCCCAGGCCTGGGTTCCGGGCCTGGCCTCGGCTGCAGAGGCCTGCACCAGGGTGTGACTGGGGACTGCGGCCACTGTGGAGCCCTGGCCAGGCCTTCTGTGGACTTGGGACCGGTGGAACTGTTACGTGATCCTCTATGTTTCTCACCGTGTTCCTGGCCCCCAGACCTGCCCGTCTTGCTTCTCGGCCCCCTGCCCGCCGCCCCACCCCGCCCCTTGCGCCCTCACCGGAGGGTCCGGCAGGGCACCTTGCCCTCCTTCGCCAGCTGCAGGGCCTCCTCGTAGGCGGCAGCGGGTCTGGACAGTGGCACCGGATAATCTCCAGCCTGCAGGGACTCGAAGAGCTGGGGAGGGCACAGAAAAAGGCAGGAGGTGAGTGGCGTCCGTGGGACGAGGACACCGGCATGGTTGCCTCAGACCCTGCCTGCCTGCTCTTCTCGCGGGGAGCCAGAGAGGACGAGGCCTGGGTTCAGGCCCAGCTCCAGCCCTCAGCCTCATTCCCTCCCAGGGCCCTGCCCCGGGCAGAGTGGGCAAGGCTGCCGTCCTCCCGTCCAGGCAGAAGACACCGCCTGACAAGCTGGCCATGCCAGGTGACTAGTGTCAGCACAGGCCTGGCGGCCTACACAGGGAGGACCTCTGGCCTCACCCCGGGGCCGCAGCCCCCGGCTCTCAGGGCTCCCTCTCCCCGGGAAGCAGCACTTGGTTTCTGCCACATTCCACCCGCACTTCCCACCAGCCGGTGCCCCACGCCAGCCATCCCCGCCCAGTCCCAACCCGGGTCACCTCGGTGGCTGAGAAGAAGGAGTCCTCGGAGGTCAGGCTGTCCTCGTCATCAGCCCGCAGGCGCAGGGAGCCCTCGGTCAGCGGCAGCATGAGCGTCCTCTCTGGAAGAGCAGCACGCAGGCTGAGCCCAGGCCCGCCCCACCCCCGCGGCCGGGCTCTGTGAGGATGCGGGGCTCCCGGCCTCGACTCCCCCTCAGCCTCATGGCTGCCAGTGCAGACGCTGAGGGTCAGGCCATGCTGCTGCCCGCGGCCCAGTGTCGGCTGAAATCAGCCTGCAGGAGCCCACAGCCCTCAAACTCCATGCTCCTGTCTTGGCCTGCTCCAGAGCAGAGAGGTCTGGACCTCTCTGGACCTTTGGGCCACGCAGGGAAGTGGGGTGGGTGGACCAGCCACCAACCACACAGGAAGCCCAGGGAGCAGTGGCCTTGGCAGGCCATGCCACAGGCAGCCACGCAGGAGGGTGTGTGACCATGGCCACCCCTCCAGGACCCCAGCGCCCCCACCAGCACCACGCAGGAGGCTGACAGGGGCCTGAGCACACCAGGAGGAGGACGCTGCTGGGGGCTGGGCACCTTGGTCCCCGCTCTGGGATGTGCTGTCCGTCTGCCTCTGTGAGGCACCTGAAGGGCTTTCCGGGGTCCCCAGGTCTGCTCTGAGCCACACCGTCCTCCCGTGCGTGGCCCACAGGAGTGTGTTCAGTGAAGGGCAACACGGGGACCCAGGCCGGCTCCAAGGGGCCTCCGCATGCCCATCCTGCTTGCCCCGCCCACGCCTCAGTGTCCACATCGTGCCACAGACACCAGGCAGTAGGAGGCCACGGCCTGGGGCAGCCCCCCGCACTGTGGGCTCACCCAGGTCGAGCAGCACGCTGTCGGCGGGGAAGGTGGACCCGAACTCCTCCTGCAGGTGGTAGGCGCGGTGCAGCAGCAGCTCCAGCTTCTCCGCAAACTCCCGCCGCTGGGACTCCGGCTGCAGGGGAAAGCGGGAGGGACAGTTCAGGCTGGGACCGTGCACGGAGGGAGGAGGCTCACCACGGGAAGCCGGGAGTGGCGACACGCGCCCAGGCGCCATCCAGACACGCCACGGGCGCAGCACATGCGGGGCCTCTGCCACTGCTGCTGAAAAGCAACGTGAACTATCGCAGCAGGATTTAGTGTGGGCCGCGCAGGGAAGTGATCAGACCCTGCACACAGATGCATAGCATTAAAATTAACTTCAAGCATTTCTCGTCCTTTTTTTTTGGCCATACTGGGGATTGAACCCACAGCCTTTGTGCTGAGCGACATCTCCAGCCTTTTTTAAAAAATTTGTTTATATTGAGAAAAGGTCTTGCTAAGTTGCCCAAGCTAGGCTGGAACTTGCAATCCTTCTGCCTCAGCCTCCCAGAGTGCTGGGATTACAGATATGCACCACCCAGCTTCCATTTGTCCTTTCCAGGAACCGCTGAACTGATTTCCACCGTGGCTGCACCATCTTACACGGCCACCAGCAGTGAGTGAGGGCTGTGGCTTCTCACGCATCACCCAGAGGTCTGTCCCTTCTGTCCTGCGGTCATGGCCATCCTGGGGGTGACACAGAAGTGTGCTTTCTTGTCTATTTTTTCCTTTTGGTTCTGAGGATGGAACCCAGGGCCTTCCACTGCTGGGCAAGTACCCTGCCCCTGAGCTCCCGCCAGCCCTGGGGTGCACACTTCCAAGCATAAAAGCTGGGGCTGGGGATTTAGCTCAGCGGCAAATTGCCTGCCTGGCAAGCGCAAGGTCGTGAGTTCGGTTCCCGGTACCGGAGAAAAAAAACAACAAAAAAAAAAAAAAAAAAAGGCATAAAAGCTTTTCGTTGCGTTTCATTCAAAACTGCCTGGGAGGACACAAAAGATTACTCCAGGAGGCTGAGGTAAATCAGAGCAACCCGCAGCATCGCCCCCTTTAGGAGCCCTTGCCATAAGCACATGCTCATAATTATAAAAAAATTTTTTGTTTTTTTGAGACAGGGTCTTACTATGCAGTTCAGGCTGGCAAAATTATAAAAATTAAACAGAGGAGCACAATGGGACACACCTATAATCCTACCACTCGGGAGGTTTAAGCAAGAGGATTCTGCGAGTTCAAGGCCAGCCGTGGCTACACGGTGAATTCAAGGTCAGCCTGGACTACACATTGAGATTTGATCTCAAGAAAAAAAGTTTACTTTTAGCTTTTTATGTTTATTTTTGTTTCTTGATATTTAAGTAATAAATGCTCACTGGAGGAAACTCAGACAGTACGCAGAAAAAAGCATATAAAGAAAAAAACAAAGGCCTTGCAGTCCAGCCACTATGGACAGAGGCCTGTTTCCTGCTGCCTCCGCCAGTGCTCACGTTTCCTTCCCAGCGCTCAGATCAGGGGCCACGTATGAGTAATCACCAAGTGCCAGGTACTGTGCTTTTGTGGCTATTTTATCTCACATGAGCACCACCCACGGGGATGGGAAAGTGTGGGCCAGGAAGGAAGCGGCCTGCTAGCGGAAGGCAGAGCCAGGCCTGGAGGTGCATGCCTTTAGTCCCAGCACTCAGGAGGCTGAGGCAGGAGGATCTGGGCTGCATAGAAAGACCCTGCCTCAAAAAGACACAGAAGACAAATGCAGGCGGATGATGCGCCTGCCCCTCTTCTGCCCACTAACTTCCCACAGGGCTGGGAGGCCGCAGAGTCCCAGCGAAGCCCCCACCTCTGACAGGGCTTCGGAGGCCGTCTCCAGGTGCCGCAAGCTGTCCCCAGGCGTGGGGGTGCTGCCGTTGTCCCCGCGCTGGCCCACGCTCAGCGCCTGCTCCCACTTCTGCAGCGCCTCCTCGAACAGCTCCATGCCTGGGCACGGGAGGGGAGAAGGAACGGTCCGGCCCCGCCGCCTCGCTGGGTGGGCACAGCGCCGTGTGGGGAGGAGGCCGCGGAGGGCCGGGGCTGGGAGGGCTGCGCGGCCGGGTCCGGCAGGGCCGGTCCATTTGCAGAGCTGTTCTGATCAGTCCCAGACAGGGCAGTGCCCACCGCACCTTGCACGTAGAGGCTCTCGGCACTGCCGTCGGTGGCGGGCACGGACTCCTCCATCCCTGGGGCTCCCCACGGTCCGGAGCCTGCGGCCATGGGGCTGGACGAGTTCACCGCCATCATCTGGGGGCCAAGTGCGAGGACAAGGAGTGAGGCGTCTCGGCCTCCGTGCCAGACCCTGTGCCACAGCCGGAGCCATTGGGGAGCCCGCAGCGCCCCGCCCTGCCGAAGGCCTGCATCCACGGACGGGGGAGGAGACACGGAGGCCGGCCCGCCCCTGGGGTGGCAGCCTCCAGTGACACCCGCCCCTGTCCTGGTTGGCATCGCTGCCCCTGCTCTGCTGGTCAGACCGGGGTGACAGAGCGCCCACAGGCACCAGGCCTGTCACCCACGCACCTGGCCGCCACCCTTGGCAAGAGGGCGAACCCTCTCGGCTTATTTCTGTGACCCCATGGCAGTGCCAGCATGGGGATGGGCACGGAGCCTACTCGTAAGAGCAAGGAACCCTGGCCTCACTCCAAAAGAGAAGCGGCTCCCTCCGTCCTGCTCATCTAGACCCACAGCACCCCGAAGCGGCCCGTGCATGCCGCTGCCCGCCCCCAGCCTTCCCGCGGCTCACCGAGGCCAGGCTGTGTGAGGAGCCCGAGCGCTTGCTGGGCTCGATGGAGGAAATGCCGCTGAGGGTGTCATTGCTCTTGCTGCTGGGGCTCTGCACCCTCCGGCTGGAGTAGCCTGTAGGGAAGGAGGTCGGTCACCCCGCTGTCCCCGCGCATCTGGGGACACGTGCTGCCCTCCTATGTCAGGCACCGCCAGGCCCTGAGCCCACGCACAGGCGGAGGAACACGGCCCCTCCCGCTGTCCCACTCACTGCCACTGCTGTCACCCAGAACAGGGCCCGGCCCAGAGGAGGGGCCCAGACCGGCTGGGGAGCGCTGGGAAGGTGCAGCCGCCTCCCCGCTGCCTCCTTATTCAGTTTCCCTGTGCTGTTTTTTTCTTCTTTTTGGCGCAGGGAATCGAACTCGGGACCTTGCGCTTGCCAAGTAGGCACTTGTATCCCTGCACTGTTGAGGGACTGATTGAGATGGCTCCTCTTTCCAATAGGGATTGAGACAACTTTTTAAAAATATAAAACAGGGAAGCTGAAGCAGGAGGATCTTTAATTAGAGCCTGGCCTAAGCAATTTAGAAACTTTGAGAGAGCCTGTGTCAAATAAATAAAAGACAGGCTTTGGGGCTGGGGATTTAGTTCAGCGGCAAAGCGCCTGCCTGGCAAGCGCAAGGTCGTGGGTTCGGTTCCCGGTACCGGAGAAAAACCAAAAAAAAAAAAGACAGGCTTGGCAGCTGGGCATAAACCTATAATTCTAGCACTTGGGAGGCTGAGGCAGGATTGCCTTGAGTTTGAGCCCAACTGGACTACATAGTGAGATCCTCTCTCAAAAGACCAAGACCTTTCTCAGCAGAGAAAAGTGGGGACTAAGGTGTGGCTCGGGCAGAGCTAGGCTTGGCATCACAAGGCCCTGGTAGAGGAGACGGTAACAGAGGTGAAACGAGAGACAGCACAGTGGCACAGCGCGTGCAGGCCCAAGGCCAGGGCAGGCTTGGCTTCAGGCTGCCTGGGGCCGCTGCACGGGTGCAGAGGAGGCCACCTTCAGGAAAAAGACTTCTTTCTCCAATTGTGGAGATAAAGCTTCCTTTTCTGATGACAGCTCAGAAGTAAAACTCACTTTCCCAGGGGACTTGCTTCCATTTTGTTTCAGTTTTTGTTTGTTTTTTTTGAGACAGGGTCTCACTGCATAGCCCAGGCCGGCCTCCAACTCACAATGATCCCCCTGCCTCAGCCTCCCAAGCACTGGGAGGACAGGTGTGTGTCACCACACCAGGCTAAGGCTTGTTTCTTAAAACAGGTTTCTCCTGAGATGAGCGTCTAGAGCTCCCCGCCTGGGCAGTGATGTTCGGTTTTCAGGTGTAGCTGACGGCAGGCGCACAGATCTAAAACCGCAGCACCAGCCACAAGGCAGGAGAGCACCGCCGGGGCTGGGAGCAGAGACGGGGTGAGGACAAAGGGACAAGAGGAGACTGGGGGACACAACAGGACCTGAGATGTGACTATGTATGTGTCAAAGCCCAGAAATGAGCCAGACCATGGTGCACACCTGTTACCCCAGCACTCTAGGAGGCTGAGGCAGGAGGATTGCAAATGGAAGCCCAACCTGGCCAAGTCAGGGAGACCCTCAGTGCGAAGGCCCTGTGTTCCATCCCAAGGACTAGAAAAAAAGAAGAAAAAATCTTGCCCTGGAACTACCCTCCAGCCCCTCAGCACCACATGTTCTCCAAGGGTCCTGGGATCTGGGCCCCTGCAGAACCAGTGCCACCGATCGGACCATGCACGTGACACCCCCCTCTGCTGCAATGACTGGAGGAAGGGGGCCCCTGTCGCCCTGCCTCACACAGACGGGAGCTGGCTGTGACACGGAAGGCACCTGAGACCCTGCAGCCCACAGCAGCCCGGCCGCGACGCCTACCTTTCTTCATCGATGGCACCTTCCGGGCCATGAGGAAGGGCAGGGGCACCGTGCCCAGCTGCTCGCCTCCCACCTCGGGCCCTGCTTGCTTCCTCCTCCGTCGGCGCCTCTTCAGCTGGTGGGCAGCCAGGGCCAAGGCCACAGTGCCCAGGGCCGTGGCAAAGAGGACTTTCCGCAGGCCTGGGGTCAGGCGTAGCTGAGAGAATGCAGACTGTGGGGGAGAGGCGGCCGGGTTACGCCATCCCGGCAGGGCTGTCACAGGAGCACTGGATGAGCAGAGGAGGCAGCCACCCCCAGACGGGACCTGCCCCGCCTCTCTGCAACGTGCTGGGAAAGGCGGTCTGGGGGCCAGCAGGCATCCTGGACGCCCTCAGCCCGGGTGATCACAGCTGCTGTGCCAGGCTCCGTACCAGGACCTGGCCTGGATACCTGCTGGGGCCCCGGCACTTTTCAGATGAGGAAACTGAGATCGTAACACAGGCTCAGGGGGACAGAGATGCAGATGGAGAATTTGAATCCAGTGACACTGAGTCCACTAGGCCACTCGGTCTGATGCGCCCCACTGCCCCAACCTTGCCCACTGCCCTAGGAGCCCTGGGGTGGAAACTTCGCCCCAGACAGAGGTGTAGGAAGTGTGGGAGCCTGGTGAGGCCCAAACCCCCAGGGCTGTCAGGGACGGCAACACTGATCCCTCCTCTAGATAGAGAAGCTGGAGTCGGGACTGTACGGAACCTCGGGGTGAAGGCCAGGACCTAACCCAGGCCTCTTCCTCTGCTTAGAGAACACACCAGATGCTTGGGACAGCAGGGACGGAGGCCCCGCTCTCCCAGCTGCGGGGGACCCCAGGCTGAGCAGCTCAGGGTTTCACGAGGCGCCCTGGGAAAGGACAGGACTCCAACCTGGCCCGGTCCTCACCTGTCCGAAGGTGGTGTACAGGAACACCGGGATCTCGGCCACCGTCATGGCCAGCGCCTGGATCATGGACACACCCTCGGTGCGCCGGAACGCCATGGCAGGGCAGGCTCCCGGGCTGGAGCCTGCAGGGCCAGGGGCTTCCACGCAGGACGTCTTCAGCTGGCGGCTGCCTGAGTCCTGGGCACCGTCCGCACCCGGGCAGGACACGGACACACATACCAGAGGGTCCTTCCACAGGGCTGAGGAACAGACACCAAGGCAGACGTGAGAAAGTGCACACATGGGTCAAAGTGCTCGGTTATGATTCACAGGCCCTCCAACCCCCTGAAACATGTGAGTACAAACACACACCCATGCGAAAGCAAAGGAAATCCACGGGCACGAACAGACGCACACAGGGTGCTTGTGGGGCCCGGGACAGAGCAAAGGCAACACCTGGACACTGGCCTGGAATGAGGCCCCAGCCCTGAGCACCTGCCAGCGGGCAGCCACCCAGATGCCCACAGACCCTGTGCCCATCTTGAGCCCCAAGACAAGAAGACAGCAGCCCTGCCACGCTGACGTGAGGGGCCCAGGGCCTGTGCTCTGCATGCATCACAGTGATGGGCATTCTGCCCCTTTCTCAGCCTCTTTAAACCCACAGGTCAGGTGCTAAACAAAACAGGCAAGCTCCAGACTAGAAACTGTGACATCTTTTTCTATGGACCACACAAGGAACAGAGGGCTCCAGCCCCACAGGGCAGCCACAACCCGGGCACTGTGTGTTTGCACTGAGTTCTTTCACCAAGTCATCACAACCCTGTGACACGGGCCACCTACCCCGCCCCACCTCCAGGGAGGAAACTGAGTCTCAGGGAGCTAAGTCGAGTCCAAAGTCACGAGATGTGGCCAGGGTGGGTCACGGTCTCTCAAGGTCTCTGGATGCAGCCAGGGTGGGTCAAAGTCTCTCTTGGACTCTCGATGCAAACCCTCTGGCTAAATCTGACATGCAGCAGGAAGTGCAAAGCCAGCAGAACCACCAAGGACAAGAGCAGCTGTTGGCGGACCTCCTAAGAAGCCCCCAGGCTGCCCCACCCCAAGGCTGGGCCTGATCACACAGAGCGGGGACCCGAGATGCTGCAGGGTGCTACCCAACACCACCATCCAGTCCCAGGGTGCCCTCAAGGTCTCCAGGGACCGCAAGGGAGGAACACACAAGCCAGGGAGACCCGGTCTCCTGGGAAGGTGGCCAAGCCACTGGCCAGCACAGAGACAGCTTACCCCATGAGTGGGAAGGGTGGCCGGGCGCTAGGGCAGGATGGAGGGATGGGTACGTGCTAGGGCAAACCCTGCCATGCTGTCAGCCCTCCAGGCTGCAAGTATTGAGCTGTGGCCCTGTGATCTCCAGTGTCAGCACACTGTAAGCCCCTCCTCCACCACCCAGTCTGGCCCGCCTCTGGGGGAGACAAGACCGTCCCAGGCCAAGCTCGGCTCTCTCCCAGGCCAGGGTTGAAACAGGCTCTCCTCGGAGGGCTGTGAGTTCGTCACTCACAGACCCCTTGAGAACGGGGAAACTGAGGCTCTCTCTAGAGGACAGCAAGCTCACCAAGGTCGCTCAAGTGCCCCCGCGTAGGGGACTGAGGACCCCAAGGCTGCAGGGTGCTTCCCAGCCACTGCCCACAAGACCCACTCGTCCAGCGCACCACACCTGAAAGGTGTCACAGGTCGGCACGGTCACACAGACGAGGCCGGGCACGCTCTCCGGGAGCCCAAGATCCGGACAGGTGCTGGCGGGGACTGAGTCCAGGTACCCTCTGCAGGGAAGGAAACCACGCGGGTTCCCCAAGCCCACTTCACTGCCGGGGGGGAGGGTCCAATTCCCGCCCACCTACGCCTTGTCCGCTCCCTTGGCACAACCCAGGGCCCGGAGCAGCGAGGCTGGGCAGAAAACCTCTCTCCCCGCGCGAGAATCCCACGGCGATGCCCGCCCGGGAGGGCACCTCAGAAGCCCCGCAGAGCCTGGGCCACCCGGACGGCCGCCCCCGCGAGCTCCACAGCCTTGGGCGGGCATCCCCTCAGCTACCTCCAGTCCCTCTCCACCGCCAGCCCGGGCGCCGCCTCCCGCCGCCCGGCCCTGGACTACCCCCACGCCGCGGGTCTGGGGTCGCGCAGCCCCGCCTCTTCTATGTCCCCGCGTGTCTCGCAGCCGCCCCCGCGCAGCGTCCTGTTCCCCTCGGCCCCCGCCGCCCCCGGCAACGTCCCAATCGCCAGGCGAGTGCCCATCATACCCGGTACCGTGCGCGGCGCGGCTCGGCCCCGTCCTCTCGGGCCCCGGCCCCCGGGATGCCCTTCAGGTAGACCCGGTGCCCTGCCGCGCTGCCCGGCGGGGTGTCCGCTGCTTCTAGCCGGGGCACCTTCCCCGGGCGCCTGAGCCCCGATCACTGCGCTCGCTCCGTGCCCTGCACAGACCTGGCCCCGGCCGCCGCGGGCCTCAGTCCCGGGCCCCGCCTCGCCGCCCGGTGGACTCAGCCGGCCGCCGCTCACTCGCCCGCCAGCCCATCGCAGCGGAAGGGCAGCGTCTCCTTCCCCGGCGGTAGCGCAACCAAACCCATGCCGCCGGAGGGCGTGGCACCGCGCGGCCCGGTCCAGCGCTGGCCAATGAACATCGCCAAACTAATCCCCGCCTCTGAGGCTCTTGGCCAATGGGGTGTGTCACATGACCCCTATTGGTCCCGCCTCTCCCGCCCTCTAGCCCGCCCCCTAAGTGCGGTTGAGGTGCGGAAGTGTTCTCTTCTCTCCTACGATTGGCTATCAGGATTAGATTGACGTCGGCGGCTGGGGGGGCGGAGCCACACTAAAAGGGATGAAGCACGACAGTCAAGCCTCGAACGAGCTCTCTGGACCTCTGATCGCTAACTATCCTACTCTACCGTGGCTACTTTGCACTTGGACAAGTCCATCCCGTTCTTCAAGTGCCCATTTTCAAATATCACCGCCCTGTAAATGGATGTCTGTTTGTTAATATGTTTTCCTTCATTTTTAAAATAAGTTTAAAAATAAAAAAATAATATCACCGCCCCTGAGCACTCTGGAAGCTGAGGCAGGAGGATCACTGCAAGTTCAAGGCCAGCCAGAACTACATAGTGAGATCCTGCCTCAACAAAACAAAACAGGGGGCTGGGGATTTAGCTCAGCGGCAAAGTGCCTGCCTGGCAAGCGCAAGGTTGTGAGTTCGATTCTTGGTGTCAGAAGAAAAACAAAAACAAAAAAACCCCACAAAACAGTGCCTGATACATAACAGGTGCTCTACGTGAGTTACTAATTCTTCTTTTATATACCCCCCCACACCCGTACAGGAAATCGAACTCAGGACCTCGCGCTTGCCAGACAGGAGCTGTGCCGCTGAGCTAAATCCGCAGCCCCTGATTCTTCTTTTTTAATCAATGGGAGTTACTGAATGAATGAACGATTAACTGTTTTTTGGTGCTGGGATTCTGCCCAGGGCCACAAGCTTGCTGGTGCACAGAGCAGTCTACACACTGCAGTACTGGTGCTTGGTGGCTATGGGAGTCAGGTACTGGCTAAGGGAACGCTGGCCTGTGGTCAGCAGCAGGCAGTGGCAGTATCAACCAGCAATGCCGACAGTTCTTTTAATTTAAATGTGTATTTGCTATCAGTCCATGTTTGCAGGACACAGTGTGCATATTCCTCGCAGGAAGTCGGTGAATGTACTATTTTTTTTTCATCCCCTTTCCCCTGTTCCCCAAATACAGACAATTAGAAACCCATGGTCCTTCCCACGCCCATCTAACATGGCCCATAAAGGTCCTTCCCACTATGCTTCTTAACAGCTTAGCATCTGGCATCTCCACATCTTCTCAGAGAAGAAGCAACAGCAGCACAGAGAGGTCAAATCCTTTGCTTGAGGCCACACAACCAGGACATCACTGACGCAGGATTTGAACTTGAATTCTGGGGTGCAGCTTAGTGGTAGAGTTTTTGCCTGGCCTGCAGCAGGCCTTGGGTCCATCCCCTGTACTGTAAAAGAGAGAGGAGAGAGACGGGGAGACTGCTGCGGTAGCTACTCCTGGTTTTGGGTTTGTTTTTCTTTTTTGAGACAGTCTCACTGTCTCACTGGGTGAACTACAGTACAGTTTCTCTGTGGTTTACTATGTAGCCCAGGCTGGCCTCAAACTCAGGGGTTCCCTCTACTTCTGCTCTCCAAGAGCTAGGATTACAGGGATGCAGTATCACATGAGACTGGTAGCTACTCCTGTAATTTCAGCACTCTAAAGGCTGAGTCAGGACAAACACCACAAGCTGAAGACCAGCCTGGGCTACACAATGTACTTAAGGCCAGCCTGAGCTACATAGAAAGACCTTGTCTCAAAAAATTTGTTTTGCTAAAGAGGTACATTTGAAGTGGTCTCATTACACATGTACACAACATGAATAGTTTAGGGGGATGTGTAATTGTTGTTCTATATTTGGTTTCTGTCCAGGAGTTCCGAGAATGAGGTACCCGTGGATGAAAAGAAAAGTAAGAGAAACAAGAAAAGCAAGAGAGACAAAATTCTGGGATCAGGGGGTTTACAGCCTCTGGGACTGCAGCTTCAATTACCAATCCCAGTCACCTTTTACTGAGCGAGAGCAAAGGAAGCAGGTAGTACAAATAGGTGGATATCAAATGTCTTAGCAAGGACAATACAACTCAGTTATCGTAAGTGTGAGGTTTGACTTAGTAAGCCATCATGTTATCATTCCTTCGGGCATGTCTCAGTAAAGCATTTAGTGTTGACCTCGAGGCTTTCCACAAGGACACAGGTTTTGTTTATTTATTTATTTTTTGATACTGGGAGTTGAACTCAGGACCTTGTGCTTGCCAGGCAGGCACTTGTGCCACTGAGCTATATCCCCAGCTCAGGACACAGGTTTTGCAATCTTATCTTTTCCACCAATGCTTTTTTTTTTTTCTTTCCCCACCAATGGTTTTGCTAGACTTCCTCCAGAACTAAACAATCACAATGGCTTGATCAGGCCTGAGGCAACACATTGAAAGAGTAATTAAATAAAGTTACAAAACTGCCAAAAGAAAAAAAAATAGAGTTGTCCTTCTCCACATGTAATCCAGTACTCAGGAGGCAGAGGCAGGAGGATCCTAAACTCAAGGCCAGTCTGGGCGGTATAGTGAAACCTTACCTGAAGAAACCCTAACAAACAATACACAAATCATTGTGTTTCCTCAGTGCTTTCTCTAACTAAAGAATATCCTTTTCCACAAGTAATTAGCTTGCTCTCATCATTCCACAGTGTAAACACACCCAAACATTGCTTTGGCTGGGTGTGGTGGCACACACGTGTGTACTTCCGAATGTGGGAGGCTGCGGCAGGAGGATCACAACTTTGAAGCCAGCCTAGGCAATTTAATAAGATCCAGTCTCAAAGCCAGGTGTGGTGACGCACACCTGTAATCTCAGCACTCGGAAGGCTGAGGCAGGAGGATCACCACGAGTTCAAGGCCATCTTGGGCTACAAAGTGAGTTCAAGGTCA